TATATGATAGCGAATGTATGTTAAAACAATATTATTAAATTAAAAATTGTGCCACATTTAAATATTGCTTTTTTCGAATTTAGGGTATGAAAACATTGATCAATGAATTTAGTAGTCGCAAACAAGGATTGTATTTTTACAATCCAAGATCGGATGTGGTTACTGTTTTGAAAGGTGCCTGTGGCGATGAATTCCAATACGTTTCGACTCAGGAAGAGCTCTCTTATTTGTTATCGACTGTTCAAGGTAATTAAATTATTTAATATAATCGTAGTATAAAACAATAATAATATTAAGTGTGATAATTATTTGAAAAAGATGACATTTTATTGATTATTTTGATTTTTATAAATGTCTGATAATAGACATACATCTCTTATGAGCCTCTTACTTTTAATTTTATATTAGGGTTGATAGTGTGTGAAGCGATGGAGTTCTTTATCTCATGTTTATTTTTAAATTTTTGATTCATTGAGATTATATATAAAAAGTACATCTACATCTTAGTATTTTTTTAAATTTGGTTATATCAAGTTCATGATTTAGAAAATTTTAAAACATATCTTAGAGATAAAAAATATCCTTTTAATATCGTTTTAAAATTTTCTTTTTATATATAATCTCAATGAATAAAAAATAATATTCATTTCAACATGATTGGAGTGACAAGTGACTCAGGATTTTATCATCTATTATACAATATTAAAATCAGAGTAATTCATGAATTTTATAAATATTTATAACTTATAAGTATTATTACCAATTTTAAGAATGTTTTATTTTTATATCTAAGAAAAATTGATATATTGTCTTATTTCCAGACAAATCTTCGCAACAACTTCTTGACCAAACACATGACAAATTACATGCATCGTTAACATTAAATAATTCGGAGATGATTCACAGAAATGCGCGTGGTTCCTGCCATGAACTTAGTGAGGTGACAAGTACACTTTTACATGCAACTGCAAGTTGAAATTGAATTTCATTTTTATATTAATAAAAAACAAAGTTTATTAAACAGAATGTTACATACAATTTTTATTTAAATGATATTAAGCACACAAAACAATAAATTAAAAGCGACATAGAAATAAAGAATGAAGGCTTTATTCTTACTTCTTAATTTA